ATTTTTTTTGAAGTTTTTTTTTTTTAAAGATTTATTTATTTATACAAGAACTGGGGTACAGGCCAGAGGCATGGGAGGGTGAGAGAATTCACCAGAGACAGAGAGGGGAGAAGAACAGGCAGAGAGACCAAAGACACTGCTGAGGGGAGCAGCGGGCGAGTCAGGAGAGGTCTGCCGCGCCATGTGGGTAGCTCCCTGGCCCGCGGGAACCAAGCCCGGGCTGCGGAGGCTGCGGACTGCTTCCTAGCAGGCGCTCAACCTGCTGTGCCACCGGGGAGGCCCCATTTTCTATCATACTTTAAAGCAGAAACTTGTTCTAGTTTAAACATTTAATTAGCTACTCTATACAGAATGGGACCTCACAACAGCTAAAACTTTGTTTCCATTTTTTTTTTTGTTATATTCTAACATTTTCTAACAAGCAAAATATATTAGAGCCATTTCAAGGTTACCGCCCATACCCAGTTACAAAACTACAATTGTTACTAAGTCAGATGATTTTCCATGTACATATGGAAGTCTACTTAACAATTCCTAATCTTAATTTCACCTGCAACTAATCCCAACCTAAGCATCTTTTAACTGTAAAAACAGCACTTTTTCTGTAGAAAGCATTAAGTCTTGTGAAATAATTGACCTACAATAGATGTTGGTATCTCCAATGGTTAGCCACCTAACAATTATTACAACTCTTTTACTTACAAAGAACTGCCTCTCCCTAAAACAGATAAAACACTAGCAAGTGTGGTGTAAGTGGCCTGGGAGTAAACAAAAACAAAACCACTAAATATCAGTCTGTTACCCTAATAAAATTGTCTGTGCCTTAACACATTTTTGAGAATAAAAATTTCTAAAAGTCTACTATCCAAAATGTTAACCATTCACACATGGCTATTTGAATCTAAACTGAAGTTTAGGGCCTCCCTGGTGGCCCAAGGGGTTAAGGCGCAACCTATGAAGCTATCTGCAGCCTCTGCAGCAGGAGTTCAAGCCCCAGCCAGGGAGCAACCCACATGGTGCAGCAGACCTCTCCTGCCTCGCCTGCTGCTCCCCTCAGCAGTGTATTTCAGTCAATCTGCCTGCTCTGTTCCCCGTTCTGTCTCTGGCGAATAATCCTACCCCCCCACACCTCTGGCCTGTACCCCAGTTCTTGCATGCATAAATAAATAAATCTTTAAATAAATAAACAAACTTAAGTTTAAAATTTTGCTCCTCAATCGCTATCCATATTTCAAATGTATAATAACTGCCCATAGCTAATGGCAACACTGCATTAGAGAAAGCTGTTATAAAACTTTTTTCCATCATTACTAAAAGTTCTACTGTGCAGTAAAAATGGTTGCATTTTCACTAAATCACAAATATTGTTACCATAGTATGCCAACTTCATTTATGCCTTTTCTAAAAAAGGAAAAACCTGTCCTTTAGACTTTTAACTAACTTCAATCATTCTGGCAAAAATCCAAAAATAGATTAATGTACATTATTTTAAGTACTCCCAACTTAAACGTTTTCCTCATAGCTCACATTCACGTCTGAAGAAAGCAAAGCACCAACAGTCACCAACCTAACAACACTTCACCACAAGGCATCGGTGTATGTCCAACTTTTCCAAAAGTGGGCTAAATCTGAAAAAGCATGGGTTTCTCTCTACCCTGGCAGCTTCATTTTCCCTACCTTCACCCTAGGTTCTAAGAAAGAGGTAGGGAACTTCCCTAATGGCGCAAGGGGTTAAGTCTCAGCACTATAAAGCTATAGCCAGCCACAGTGTCATGAGTTTGATCCCCAGCCAGGGAGCTACCCACATGGCACAGCAGACCTCTCCTACCTCGCCGGCTGCTCCCCTCAGCAGTGTATTTCAGTCAATCCTCCTGTTCTGCTCCCCACTCTGTCTGGTGAATCCTCTCACCATCACCTTCCCCCATCTCTGGCCTACACCCCAGCTCCTGTATGTATGCATAAATAAATAAATCTTAAAAAACAAAGAGGTATGAAGATCTGGCAATGTCCCACAAACTAGTGCCACAATTTTCCCTTTTTTGGACATTTTTAAACGATAAGCCTAACATTTCTTTTTCATTATCAAATGTCTTTATTGTTACTGAAGTACCACTGTTCTACACCCTTGACAGCACTTTGATGATACAGGAATCCCCCTCAGCTGCAGCCACCACCAGACTCCCACCACCAGGCAAGGGACTTAGTGTCCAAAACTGTTACAATAGAGGTTAACTGCAACAACAAAAAATTATGAAAGATGGCTTCTGGCAAACACAAATTCCTCAAACTAAACTACCTAGTATCACATTAAATTCATCCCCCACCCTTTCTCTAGACAATTATAGACACATTTTGTAGTCCTTGGACCAAATTTAGTCAAAAGATACAATAATATGGAAAAGATGGGCTAAATATCCAACAAAATTTAATCTCAGATAGCAAGGAGACTAGAAGTCAAGAAATTCCACTGCAGAAAATCTCAATTTTCTTGCCAACAAACATGTAAACTAGGCTTCACTTGAAAACTTAAGGCCTCTTATTTTTTTTTTTTAAATACAAACTAACTTCATGGTACAAGTAACAAAGTATCAGCTCAAAAACTGAATGTATCTGAAATGAACTAACAGTTTGCACCCCCAACATTCACTAGAAGTCTCTTGGGTATGTCCAGTTCCTTTCTTTACTGAAGGGGGGTGGGGGGGAGAGCATAAAAATCAAAGAGCAGGGCCTCCCCTGGTGGTGCAGGCAGTTGAGCGATGGGCTGTGAAGCTGGGCTGTGAAGCTGTCCGCAGCCTCTGCAGCACCGCTTCAATCCCAGGCAGGCGGGGGAGATACCTGCATGGGGCGGCAGACCTCTCCTGTCTCGCTGGCTGCTCCCCTCAGCAATGTATTTCCATCAATATGCCTGTTCTGCTCCCCAATATGTCTCTGCTGAATCCCCTCCCCCTCCCCCACATCTGGCCTGAACCCGGTTCTTGTATGCATGAATGAAAAAAATCTCTTAAAAAAAAATCAAAAGGGCCTCCCCGGTGGCGCAGAGGTTGAGCAGCTGCCTGAAGCCTCTGCAGCGCCGGTTCGATCCCTGGCCGCCGGGCGAGGGTCCCACATGGCGCGCAGACCTCTCCTGCCGCCCGCTGCTCCCCTCAGCAGTGTACTTCGGTCCTTCTGCCTGCTCTGCTCCCCGCTCTGGCTCTGGTGAGTTCTCTCACCCTCCCGCGCTTCTGATTGTACCCAGTGCTTGTATAAATAAATAAATAAATAAATCTTTAAAAAAAAAAAAAAAAAGAACACAATTTAAAAAAAAAAAAATCAAAAGAGCAAACTTGCAAACTTGCTATTACAATGGAGAAGCAATGTTAAAGAACTAAATATTAAATATACTTTTGGTAAGTAGTATCTTTTTCTTCATTTTAGTCATTTTCACATTTCTTTGGCACACACCTTTATCGCAATAGTTTAGCACTTTGATTTTAGCCCCACTAGGGCCACCAAAATAATTGTTTACAATATTTAATCAAAAATTGCCATTCTATCAACCATTAAACAAACTGTGGTATATCCATATCAGAGAATTCTACTCAGTACAAAGAGAAACTACTGATACACCTCCAAAACTTGGGTGAATGTCAAGGCAACTGTGTTGATTACAAAAGGACAATCCTAAGAAAATTAAATACTGTGTGACTCTTTCCAGTAAACATTCCCGAAGAAAGAGAACAGGCCAGTAATGCTGATGGGAGAGGGTATGGGGGTGAGGGGGTCGGCTATAGAAGGGCAACTGAGGGCCCTTGAGCCTGGGTACAGTACACTGGGCACAGTACACCGACTGTAGAGGTGGCTACCTGGGCCACACTCGTGAGGAGGTAACACTGCACTGAGCTACAGAAACACATTAGTACAAGTAAAAGGGACATTTCTATACTTAATATTGGTAGAGCTTAAGTACCAATGTCAGGATACTGAAGTTTTGAAGGCACTATTAAGCATTTGAGAAACTGAGTAAAGGGTACACAGGATCTATTTTTTGCTAAAGCTACATGTGAATCCACATTTATCTCAAAATTCGCAGTCTGATTTAAGAAGCATTCCCCTAGGAAATAGGGGAATTTTAATATGACCCGGCCAGGAGAGAATACTGGGGAGTGATTGTCAACGGGACAGTGGTGATACGGGACAGTGTCCTTCTGCAAGCTCTGTCTGCAACTTACTTTTTAAAACTCCTTTATACATGTATGGGGAGAGACAGGCAAAGTAAATTTGGCAAAATTTTGAATATTAAATCTAGGTGAAGGGGAGTGCCTCTTGTACACCTCTCAATTTTTCAGCTTTAAATTTCTTCAAAATATAGAGTGGGGGAGATTAAGGAAAAGTTGCTATCCTGAAACTACACCCTAGTCCCACCTGCACTCCAATGAGTCTTAAAACAAAACAAAAATTGCTATTAAAAGATTTCAAGGTAACTAAGAGTTACATGACATTGGCTGTGACTTTGATATGTTCTTCAACTTAAGTTCACTAAATCTGTGGGGCTAACGGACAGTTTTGTAAAAATCGAAGTTAGCGGAACACGAATTTTCCTTATGTCTAGTAATCCTGGGTCTCCAGCGCGGTTCTACTTTCAAATGGGTAAAATAAATTAAAATTGGAAAAGCAAAAGCTGGCACTGCAGACACCACAAACGTCTAAAGTCTCAAATTTGGTAAATACAGTGGATCCTCTCACAAAGAAATGTCTGCATGGAAGGCACAGACCCCACACCAAATGCCAAACCAAAACGGCGCCGCACGGTGTGCCTGACAGCGCCAAGGCCACAAGACACATTCTACGACGTTCACGGTCCCCCAACACCCCTGCCCTTGCCATGTTAAAGACGACTGCGGAGCGCACGCGTTAGACACGCAGGCATCGGGGGAGCCTGGGCCTGCGTCAAAAAGGATGCATCGCAAAAGTTCTTTCTTCTATTTCTCTGCTGCTGACGCGGGTCTCGGTGTTCACACACTTCAGTCCACGAGAACCTTCGCGACCGGCGCGTCTCCGCCGAAAGCTCCCAACTTTTCACTTCCCCCCGGCCCGCCCCCCGCCACGGGCCCCACCTCCGAGGAGGGCGATGGGGTGGGGCTGCTTCCCGCTCGGAAACTAAGAAATAAATGCCTCTTCCCGACTCCGGCGAGGCGGGGGAAAGGCCGAGGAGCTGCCGGCGCGAGCGTGGAACGACCTCCGGGGCGCCGGGGTGGAGAGGCGCCCCTCCCCCGCAGGCTCCCCGCCCGCCTCCAGGTCAGTCCGTGACCCCGGCCGGGCGGGGACAGGTGACTCCCCGAGGAGAGCGAGAGGGAGGGAGCCCCCGCGCGGGGCAATGAATGAGCCGAGCCGCGGCCGCACCACCTGTTCCTCCCCGGGCCCGCCCGGCCCGCCCGCGGGGCGCCCGCGCCGCCGCCGCCGCCGCCCGGGCGCGCGCCCCCCGCTCGAGGCCGGGCCTCCGCCGCCGCGGCCGGGCGGCCGAGCGCGGCGATCGAGGCCTAGTCCGGAGCCGCGGCCTCGGGCGCGGGGACCCGGGCCCGGCCCGGCGCGCGCCCGGCTCCGAGCGGGCCGCGGGCGAGAGCGGCCCGGCCCGGCGGCGAAGGCGGGGTCCGGCGAGGGCGGCGCGGCGCCCGCGGGCCCGGGGCAGGGTGACAGGCCCGGGTCCCGGCTCCATCCTGCCCGCCGCCGGCCGCGGCCGCGCACTCACCAAGATCCGCTTGAAGAGCGCGTTCTCCTTGGGCGGGAGGCTCACGGCCGGCATCGCTCCGGCTGCTCCCGCGGCCGCGCCGCCGCCCGGCTCGGTCAGGCTGTGTGTCCGGCCGCCGCCGCCGCTCCCGGGCCGCCTCAGCCTTGATGCCCGCGCCGCCGCCGCCCCGGGCCTCGGGGGTCACCGCGCCGCCGCGCCCCGACGCCCCCGGCCCCTCGTGGTCTTTTTTCCTTTCTCACTTCTCGCCGCCGCGCCTCCCCCCACGGGTCTCCGTCGGCGGTTCACGTGGTAACTGAACAGACCGACAGAGGCAGCCAAAATGGCGGCCGCGCAGCGCTTTCCCACCCGGGTCACGCCGCGCAGCGCGCAGGCGCGGTGACCCCTGGCCCCGCCTCCTCGGCCCAGGCGCCTGCCGGGTAGTGGGGAGGCGGCGGGCGGCCGCGCCGAGCGCCGGGGTCCGGGCCGGGGGTCCCGGGGCTCCCCGGGGGGCTGGCGGGGTCGCAGCCGGAGGCCCAGTGCCGGCGCACCGGGGCCGCCCGCGAACGCGGGGCCCCGTCTGCGGTGGAGGCGGAGGGGAGAGCAACGGCGGCGCCCCGGCGGGGCCGGTGCGCAGATCTGCGGGGAACCGGGCTTCGCCGAGGCGGAGAGCGTGAAAGCGCCTGACCGCTAAGTGGGCCCGGCGGGGCCTGCGTGGCCAGCGGCATCGCCGGAGACGCGCCTGCAGGGTTATTAACGAGGCCCGCGGCGCCGTGGCGCTGCCGAAGCTGTGGCTGAAGGTGAAAGCGCGCTGTGCCTTCACGGTGGAGCCCAGACAGTGCAGGGTGGTGACTGCGTGACCTTGGGACGGGAGCGCTCGGGGCACCTGCCTGCCCCGGAGCTGGCTTCACGCTGGTGCCGCAGACTTCGACTCTCAAGGAACCCCATAGCCAGACGTCTTCAGATCTTAGAAGCTGCAGAGGAGCTGCCCAGAAGGATACTAGAGAGAACTGATGCAGCAGGCAAGGTCAAACTGGATGCTACGAAATAGGGCCACTTCCACAAATACAAGGCGCTTTATAAACAATCGACAATAAAACTGTTTTTTAAAGTGACCTTTCATTGAGGAGCTACTATTTTTTTTAAAGATTTATTTATTTATGCATACAAGAGCTGGGGCACAGGCCATGGGTGTGGGGGGTGAGAGGATTCACCAGAGACAGAGTGGGGAGCAGAATACGCAAATTGACAAATTGACGGAAGTACACTACTGACGGGATCAGGGGGTGAGTCAGGAGAGGTCTGCTGCACCATGTGGGTAGCTCCCTGGCCAGGGATCAACTTATGCAGAAGAGACTGCAAACTGCTTCATAGGTTGCGTCTTAACCCCTTGCGCCACCAGGGAGGCCCAAGGAGTTACAATTTTTCAATTCATACGAGCCATTTTTACCTTTGCCTATTTTTTTTTAATATTTATTCATACAAGAGCTGGGGCACAGGCCAGAGATGTGGGGTGATGAGAGGATTCACCAGAGACAGAGTGGGGAACAGAGCAGGCAGACTGACTGAAATACAGTGCTGAGGGGAGCAGCGGGTGGGTCACCTCCCTGGTCAGGGATAGAACTCATGCTGCAGTGGCTGCAGATTGCTTCACAGGTTGCGTCTTAACCCCTTGTGCCACCAGGGAGGCCCCACCTTTGCCTATTTTTAACCATCCCTCTCCCTGCCCTGAAGTCCACCAAGCATTCTTTGTATCCTGTATCTTAAATACATGTAATGGCTTTGCTTGTTTGAATTTACACAGATATTTTACCTTTTCAACTTGTTCTTTAACCCTACCTGGGAGGGGTTAGGCTGAGTAAAGTGTTTCCCAGTAAAAAAATCTGACACTAAAACAAGTTTTCTAGCTGCTATCTTAAATACCCTCCTTTTTAGCCTGGGTTATAAATAAGGTTTAATCAGTCAAATCCTGGAATTTCCTCAAATTCTGTAATCTCTCTTCGAAAGATTCTATTAAGGAAACTATCTACAGGGCATCACATTTGAGATTTGGAATATGGCCAGTTTTTTTAACCATAAGTTTTTTAAAAAAAATTATTTATTTATGCATACAAGAGCGGGGGTGTAGTAGCCATGTGGGTTAGCTCCCTGGCTGGGGATGGAACTTGTGCTGCAGTGGCTGCCAATAGCTTCACAATGCTGAGACTTAACCTCTTGGCCAACAGGGAGGCCCAAATTATAACTTTTTTTTCAAGTAAAACTAAGAACAAACTTAGAATTCACAATACTGGTTACTTAGTGATAACCTTCAAGCTTCACTGCCCCCAAAAAATTTTTCAACTGTCTGCACTATTATTAAAAGATAAGAAAATTGTCTAGCCAGATGATTAATAATGTTAGCTCAGCTTACTACCTTGCAAACTTTAATTCTACAAAAGGGACTTGTAAAGTGAAAAATCTCCATCTTCGGTCCTCCCTGGTGGCACAGGGGTTAAAGTCTCAAGGCTGTCAAGCTATTGCTAGCCAGCCATTGCAGCAAGAGTTTGATCCCAGGCCAGGGAGCCAACCCACACAGCTCAACAGAACTCTCTGCCTCGCCTACTGCTCCCCACAATAGTGTATTTCAGCAGATCTCCCTGTTTTGCTTCCCATTCTGTCTCTGGTATATCCTCTCACCACTCCCCCCAACACACACCCCTCTGGCCTACACCCCAGTTCTTGTATGCATAAATAAAAATAAATCTTAAAAATTCTCCATCTTCATTTATATGAGATTATTGAATTTTTACATCTTATTCAGAACTTAAATTTTAAAGAAATACAGCATAAAAAAATCTATATATTTGCCACCCAAGTTGAAAAATATTTATATTTTGTGATTGCTTCTGTTTTGTTTTTTAATAAAAACTGGCAAATTCAGCAGGAACCCCTTCCCTCTCCAGATGCTGAGTTTGATAATAGCATAATATTCTCATGCATCATGAATCAATAAACATACATAGTGTTTTACATTTTATGCTGTTTTCACATCTTTTCCTTAACTCCTTGGGAGATGAGTTGAGTAAGGGGTGTTTCCCAGTGGGAAAATTTGGGGTGAAAACTCAGTTGCTATCTGCTAATTCAATTCCCCCCTCCCTTTGCTTAGGTCATAAATAAGCTTTTAGCATTCAAATTCTGGCAGACATTTAAATGAATGTCATATAACAACTTTTACCAAAGTATCATAGTTCTTAGCTCCTGGCTGGAGTTGCTTTATCAGGATTCTTTTCAAGATGGTATTTCACCTAAGACTGCCTACTCCAAATATAGGATTCCATCAGTTCCAACATACTGAGAGAAATGTGCTTATACTTCATCAGTTTCCCAAAATATGCACTAGTAAAAGGATACTGAAACCCAAAGAATGAAACAGCCTTTTCCAACAGCAGTACTGAAGTCAGTAATTTGGTCACTGGCTCTGTATACTCTGACTAAGTGGCTTCTGTTCTAACTTGTTGGATACTGGCAAACACTATGTCAGAACAAGTTTACAAGGGATGGTGTAGAAAGGATATACAACTGACAGGTTGCTGAGTGGACAAGAAACAAAGAAGTTGAGAAGCCACAACTGACTCAGCACATTACCTAGGTGGTTTGCTTCCTTGAGCAAAGCCCAGGAGCATCAAACTAGGTTACAAGCCATAAAGTGACTCAGTTTAGCAATCCATTTAACTATTGTTTGCAGATAAAAAGTGAATCAGAAAGCACAATATAGTATTTTACTTTGGTCAGTAATTTTTGGTTTAAAAATTTTAATATATTGCTAAAGTAAATATAGAAGGAAAAAGATACTTGTTAACATACATTTGCATTTTACAATGAGCCTAACTGGCACTAGGTTTAAAGGATTAAAATGTTTTATCTTTTTTACCTATGCATGTTTTTCCATGGTCTTCAGGCAACAGATTGTATTGAAAATGGAATGCACGGAAATCTGGATCACTTGTGAAAGAGCAAACCTATTGGTCAGTACTTGTCTTTGATCGTCAAAACCAAGTTAATTTACAACTAACATACACTTTCTAAGCTTTCCCACGAATCTATAGGATAGGTGGTATGTCACAGATGTAAAGCTGAACTGGGTAATAGAGAAGTTAAGTAATTTACCTAAAATGTTACAGTTAAAAGTGGCTAGTAGCAATGGGGTTTTGTACTTGGCACTTTGAATCCTACTCTACAGTGCACGGTCTCAGGGGACTGTCCACAGCCTGAGAGGTCAGCTAAGGGGGATCACTGTATCTGGGGTCTGGAGACTTGAGACTGAACCCCACCTCCCCCAGCTGTGTGATCTTGAGTCGGTCAGGGCACTTGTAAACCACCAGAATAATTCTCTTCCTCGCAGGGTTGCGAGACTTTACCACAATAGTGCATGCAACCGGCCTTTACACCTGTCACTGGTCTTTTCAAAGAGAGGGTATAACGTCACCTGGGATGACAGCTAGCCCGCTTTGAGCGTCATCTATAATTTGCGGGTGATCTCGGGACGTCAGGCGGTCATTGTGAAGATGAAATGAAACAGGCTTATAAGGTATTTGATGCATTCATGCCCAGTGCCTGGCACACAGAATTCAATCAAAATAATAGTTATTATTCAACACCACATTTCATTTTCAGTTTTCTGGCTCAGGAAGATTGCCGCAGCCCTCTTGATGAGGATTCCCGCGGAGGGGTCTGAAATACACTCAGAGAACAGAGACGTAGAAAACCACCATTTTCCCCCGTATCACCTTTAATCGCTTCCTCCCCAACCTCTCTACACGCGGCCCAGAGCTGCGACGCCCAGAGGGCACGCCCGCAGGCCCGCGCCTGCGCAGTGGGCGCGCCCGCGCTTCCGGCCGCCGACCCGGCAACATGGCGGCGCCCGCGTGGCTGCGCCGCTGCTCCCGGCTGCTGGCCCCGGCCAGGCTCCCGAGCGTTTGTGAGTGTCCCACTGGCGCCGGCCGACCGGGCCTCCCAGCCGCGGCCTCCCGGGGCGGACTGAGGGGTCGGGGGGGCGGGGGCGGCCCGACCTCGTCGGCCGTGACCTTCGCGCGCCCTCATCCCTGCGCCGCGCTCCGGGCCCCGCCGCCCCCGCGGCCCCGCGCTCGCCTCCTCGCCTCGCCTCGCCCTGCCGCCTCCTGCCGCCGGCGCGTGCTGGGGGCCCCGGGGAGCCCCAGCCCGCCCACCCGGCTTTGGGGGCGCGCGGGGACTGGCGGCCGGAAACTGACGTCCGGGCCCCGAGTGTTTGGCCGCTTAAGGGGGCGCTGGAGGGGGAGCACGGCGGGCGGGCGCGGGCGGCCTCCCCTCCGGGCGCGCCCTGACCGCCCGCTGTCCCCCGCAGCCGCCGCGCGGGCGAAGTTCTACGTGCGGGACCCGCCTCACGCCCAGCCCGACTGGCTGAAAGTTGGCCTGACCTTGGGCACCTCGGCCTTTCTGTGGTTCTATGTAAGTCTCGACTCCCCGCTGGCCGAACCCCGGCAAGCGGGAGGTCGTGGGGGCTGGAGTGGGGCCGTGGCGGTGTGGCCAGGGACGAAGGAGAAATGCTGATGTTAGGGGGAAAGGATGTCCTGAGCTAATCCCATGCAGGCTTTGTGGACTCCACCCCCACGCCAGACCAAAGCCATCAGGACATGGGGAAAGACACATCCTGTCACCACCAAAGGGAAGGTGGCTGGGACCTGAGGTTGGAGTTAAGCAGCCAGGTGGGGTATAAAACCAGACACGTGGGCCTTGGGGGGCTCGCTCTGTCGCTCGCCTCCTGGCTTCACCCTCCTGGCCCGCGGCCAGCTCTCAGGTGCCATTTGGGATTCCAGATCGGCGGATCAGGTAGGACGCATTTAAAACTTTGTCTCCCACTTTTCTCCCTGAGCTGTACATTTCCTCGTTTCCCCTTCCCTTGTGAATAACCTTTTATGAACCTTTCACGTGTGCCTGCAGTAGAGCATTGATAAGTCCTTTTAAGCGCCCGGGTGAGGACCCACAGTCAGGCACCCCGTTTTGTATCGGGGCTGCCCTGTAACACTAAGATTTCACTGGAGTGGAGAAAGGATGATGAGCCTGAAGGTCTTTTCTTTGCTTAAGCAGGGTTTGCGGGGAATAGCAGTTTTCACCAAATAATAATATTTTGTTTCTTAGAATGGATTGAGTCTGGTTGCGGTGTCCTAAGGGACTTTTTTCAGGTGCCGTGTACAAATGAAATCCCATGAAACCTCAAGACGTTAGATTTTAACCAGTGTATTAAATCCATTGTTGGAAATTGTACTTGGGTGTGCGACATACTTTTTTTTTTTTTTGTCCTTCCATGTAAGCATTCATTTAACATCTTCAGCAGCACCATTCCTCGGTGCTGCTGTTGTTGACCTTTCTCTGGTGGAAAAAAACACTTAGAGAAATTAGTTTGCTGAATCCAGTTCACTCTGACTTCAGAGCTATGTTATAAGTCACTGTGAAACACTGCCTTTTGCTACCTTTTTTAAAGTTGATTGAAGTATTTATGCTATATTTAAAGTTTTTGTTTGTGTCCAGTGGCTTTGGGCCTTCTTCCACTGCCCCCATCTCTCCAGCTCTCTAAATCGCCTAAATTGGATTTTCTCATTGAAGTAGTTAACTGTTTGACATAGGAAAGGAATAAGAGATGTTGAAAGTCACAACTTAACAGTAACTAATCTTTTTCAATAATGTTTGTTATAATGGAGTTCCCAGTTTAAAGTTGACCTTAAAGTTCACTCAGAAGCTGATTGAAGTTGGATGGTTTACTGCAGCCACCATAACCCCATGTCAACCATTGTTCCACTTGCATGTTCTGTCACAGTGGGTCTAGAAGTGACTGCCTTCCATGACATCTAATTCATGTACTTCTTTTTAAAGATTTATTTTTATTTATTTACTTATGCATGCACTGGGCACAGTCAGAAGCGCGGGAGGGTGAGAGAATCCACCAGAGCCAGAGCGGGGAGCAGAGCAGGCAGAAGGACCGAAGTACACTACTGAGGGGAGCAGCAGGCGGCAGGAAAGGTCTGCCTGCGGGCCATCTGGGACCCTCCGGTGGAGGGTGAGAGAATCCACCAGAGCCAGAGCGGGGAGCAGAGCAGGCAGAAGGACCGAAGTACACTACTGAGGGGAGCAGCAGGCGGCAGGAAAGGTCTGCCTGCGGGCCATCTGGGACCCTCCTCCGGAGGGCGGGGAGCAGCTGGGGATCGAACCGGTGCAGCAGAGGCTGCGGGCAGCTTCACAACCCGGCGCTCAACTGCTGCGCCACCGGGGAGGCCCTAATTCATGTACTTCTAGTTCAGGGAGTCATTCAGCATATTAGATGTTTAAGGCTAGCTGTTTAACACACACACATACCAATTGACCCCTTAATAGCCAAGTTCTGCTGTGTCCTGTTAATTCAGTCCTTCTGTGCTAAGGCATCCATTCCATTGGTTACCCATAGAATGAAGTGCTATAGAGCAGTCCTCCATTATCCTGGTTTCACTTTCCGTGATTTCAATTACCCTGGTCCAAAAATATCTTGAGAGCATACAGTCACATAATTTTCATGACAGTATATTGTTGTAATTGTTCTATTTATTATCAGGTATTACTGGTGATCTCATACCATGCTTGATCTACACATTATGCTTTATTCTAGACATGTATGCAGTATATATGCCTCTTAGTACTGCCCATAGTTTCAGGCATCCACTAGGGTCTTGAAATGTATCCCCTGAGGAAAAGGTGGGACTACTATATTTGGCAGAATTTCAGTTGAAACTTAAGGATTGCCTTCTCAAGTTTAACATTGTTGGATTGGGGTGAACAAGTATCTATCATTCATAGTTTTGGACTTTTGAGTTTCCTTACTTTTTATTTCTAACTAGAATAGAATAGTTGTAATTCTTTTAATCTATCATCAATCCTCTGGCAAAATATAAGTACTCGTAGTTAACCACCTCCTCTATAAGTTGCCAGAAAGATTACATTTCTGATTTTAACTGTTATTTAATTCTAGCTCATCAAGCAGCATAATGAAGATGTTTTAGAGTATAAAAGAAGGAATGGATTGGAATAAACTTTTGGAATACTAACACAGTAAGTGTACAGTTTTATAGGCGGAAAAGATTATGCAAGTTAATTTGACCTCTTTAATGTATTTTGTTGTTTTTTTTTTTTCAATTTTTACTTTTAGCACCTATATTCCTATCTGTGACAATATTTTTTTTTTAAAGATTTATTTGTGCATACAAGAACTGGGGTGCAGGGCACAGGTGTGGGGGTTGAGAGCGTTCACCAGAGACAGCGGGGAGCAGAATAGGCAGATTGAAATACACTGCTTAGGGGAGCAGCAGGCGAGAAGACAGGAGAGATTTGCTACACCATATGTGGGTCATCTCCCTGGCCAGGAATTAAATTCTGGTCATAGAAGTGATAGTGCTGCGACTTAACCCGTAGGCTGCCAGGGAGGCCCCTAGTTTCTTTAATGGTGCTTTACAGAGTACCTTCACAGCATTTAAAACTAGTTATCACACATAATAAATGTTTTTTTGACACATAGCGTGCTTGAGTACAAATGCCATGACAACAGGAACCATCTATTTTACTAATCATCATGTACTGGACAACTTGCCAGGTGCTGGCAGTTTAGTGTTGGCAGAACGGATTCATGGAGAAGTATGGTAGGTTGTCCAAGTTTTTTTTCATGACTGTCACTACAGCTGACAATTTCTGGTAAAACTCAAGCTATTAACAAGACAGCCTACTGTGTATGATCTGTGATTTAAAAGAGAGTTTATTTTATTTATTTTATTTATGCATACATATTTTTGTGGGTTCTATATATTTCTGAAAATCTTAGTGTTAATCCTTTTGTAAAATGAAAAATCAACCTGATTATCTCCTGGATTAGGTTGGTCACAGCATATCTGTCTGCTGGGTAATAAACAGCATAGTGCTCCCGCGTGCACTTTTTTCCATATTAACTCTCAGACTCAGCTTTGTAGGGTTTGATGATCCACATTTTCACTCTTTCTATTAATATCACCTTGCCCATTTCACTACCTTAATTACCCAATCAAGAGGTAAATAAAAATGAAATAGATATTTAAATCAAAACCAGATGCTAACAACAAAAGCAACAGATGCTTTTGCCATTTTTGTGGCTCAGGTGGTATTTTTTTCTAAAACATGGTAAAAGGATGGGTTGATAAACTTTTTAGATTTGTTATCTAGATTATCCTAAGGTGAATTATTCAGTGTGGTCTAATTTTAGTATTTCTGCTAGTTACTGCTAATTTTTTCATTCTTTTTCTCTTATTGTAGGTATGCTCCGTAGAGTGATAAAACAGTTCCTCTGGATCCCAGTCTGTTGAGTTTTTAATGTGAGATGTTATATGTGAATATTTGTCAAGCCAGCATTTGTGTTTTACATCATTACATGAAAAAATAAAAATCCTCCTGTATTCAGACTCTGTATATTGTGACAACATGTGTGATTCTAAGGTCCATTGTAAGAAGTATTTCACTGTGGATGGTGCCATCTGCTACCAGGGTCAGCAGCAAAGAAATCTGATAAGAAAGTTTATTAAGGAGATAGTTTCAGAAATACAGCTGAAGGATTTACACCTTATGTCAACTTTTAATTTCTTTTTTTCCTTTTTTTTTAAAGTTTTATTTAAAATCTTTATGAGAGCTGGGTTGTAGGCAGAGGTGCACAGGAGGCAGGGGATGAGAGGATCCATCAGAGACAGAGTAGGGAACAGAACAGGCAGATCTACTGAAATATACTGCCGAGGGGGAGCAGCGGGTGAAATAGGAGAGGTCTGCTGCACCATTTGGGTTGCTCCTGGCTGGTGGGGGGTTGAACTTGGTTACAGTGGCTGGCAATAGCTTGACAGTGGTGAGACTTTAACCCTGTACCACAGGGAGGCCCCTGAACCTGAATTTTTATTTTTTTAATTTTTTAAAGGTTTATTAATGCATACAAGAGTTGGGGTACAGGCCAGAGGTGCAGGGGTGGGGGTTGAGAGGATTCACCAGAGACAGAGTCAGGGGCAGAACAAGCAGAATGAAATACACTGCTGAGGGGAGCAGAGTGCGAGACAGGAGAGGTCTACGCCATGTGGCCTGTTTCCCTGGCCGGAGATCAAACTCATGCTGCAACAGCTGCAGACAGGAGGCCCTGGACCTGAATTTTTAATAGTACTTAAATTTAAATGGGCCTAGCTGTAGACTAGTAAATAACACCTAGCATTGAGCTACATAGTAACATTGATAATGCTTTCGAAATTACTGAAACCTAACAAACTGTTAAGCTAATAAGTTAAGAGGACATAGAAAAACCCAGACCCCAGGAACAGCAGTGGGCCCTAAATTAATTGGGTCCTGGAACTCATTTGTCAAAACCCTTGCTGTTGGCTCTGCTCTGCTCTGCTTTATCTCCCTCGCACACAGACCTCCCCCCAGGCCACACTGTAAAGGAAAGACCATAGTCAGCAGTTCCTGGCTTCACAAAGCCTCAGTTCAAGAGTAGCTGGACTGAACAAGAATTAATTTCTCAAGAAGAACTGTGGTACGATGGTGGATCCTTTAGTAAACCTGTGAAATGGGATCAAGTTTTTCATTCAATTAAAATCAAATAAACCTCTTCCCAGATTTATTTCCTGAGTCACTTAAATTATTTTCTTAAATTGCCATGGGAAAAACGGGCTATAAACTCAGTTGTAGGTATAAGAAACTTAAGGGTTAAATTGTGTCTTCCCAAAAGATGTGCAAGTCATTACCACAAGTATCTCAGAATGGGACTTGGAAATAGGGTGGTTGTAGATGTCAGTTAAAGTTATGTATCGATACTGAAGTGGGTGGCTCTTGATTCCATGTAACTAGTAGATTGTAAGAAGAGACATGGAAAAGACAGGCAGAGTTTGGAGGGAAGCATCCACTAGCCAACAATTCCCAGCAAAAATCAGCAGCTTTCAGAGGAGGCCAACCCTGCCAACCCCTGGATTTGAGATGTCTGGCCTCCAGAACAATGAGAAGCAATTGCTGCTGTTTGCCATTTGTTACAGTAGTCTTAGGAAACAATACAGAAATGTTCTTTATTTTACTACAGAGGAGCGTACTGAGTGACCTTCAAGTCTGAAAATTTACCACCTTGATTACCTTTTCCCCTTCATTTTAGCGTAAATATTTTAGGCCATCAAAAGCATTCTCACAAGGACTTTAATTGCTATGGATTCTTCTTCCTAGATTCTTCTAAATGGTTTCACTCTGTATTCATACTGATCTATTGAAAATACAGGTTACGGCCTGAGAATTCAGTGTTAAGGAAAACAAAGCTGTTGCTAGATTTCTGTGGAGACTCGCAAATCCCTCAGTCTTTGAAAACGACTTTCAACTACACAGCACTTAAGCTGGAATAAGTGATGAATGTTCCCCCGGAGGACCCTTGTAATATGCTTTCAAGACTGAAATCCTTGTCAACAGTCACAATTAGGTTGAGGTCATCCTGGATGAGCCAGGCTATCTCCGCCCCTCGACACATGTTTTCCCTACCGGACCTAGGAAAATGTCAAGGCTGTGCCCAAGGTAACGCTGAACAACGTGACCAACAGCCAGAGACTTGTCTGAGCCAGAGAGGCTTCTTTAGCAAAGACCCAATGTTAAATTCTCTCAGGTTTGGGAGAAAAAGGTAAACCTGCCCAGTCTTGGGAAATGTTTAGTCAAGAAGTGACAAATAGAAAACCACATTTCCTACCAGAGCTGTCAGAAGGATAGAAAATTTCTTTTCACCTCTTTTGCTTCCCACTGTGTCTCTGGTGAATCCTCTCCCCTCCAACTTCTGGCCTACACCCCAGTCCTTGTATGCATAAAGAAAATAAAAATAAATCTTACCAAAAAAAATTCCTTTCCATCCAGGAGACATTCAGCTTTTAGTAAAATGTAAAGGGCTCTGGAGAAGTGCACTATTTATCTCACAGTTGTAACCTGTCCCAGCTGGGATGGCCACCTCTGACCTGGAGGACACCACTAGCTGAGCCTCCATCTCCTGAGAAGTACGTGGGCCTGTCACAGGCTCCCACAAGGAGAGCAGTAAGGGAGCCTCAGCTTCTGCTTCAGCTGGGAGTCAGCATCCGGACTGCCTGCTCCAATTATCGGAGCACATTCCATACTTAATGCAGCTCAGGGCTCACCTCAACCCTAGGAATAAAGACATGTCCTTATGCAAGTCAGGTTTCTGGCTTCTAGACACCCACTCTTAACCACACTGTTAAACTAGCATAGCTTTTAGGTATTATGGGCATCATCAGTATCCCCTTGCTCCCCCTCCTTAGAATTGTTAAGAAGTACACAGATGTGCTAATACTTTGAGAAAAGCTTTTTAAAGCTATATGTATGTCATTTGCACATTGTTTAAACCTAAGTCTTAGCTTACTTTTATTATCAATATCTGGTCAGAGGTTTCCATGTGACCTTACACCCCAGGGTATCTCAGAGAGGATGCTGTCTGTTTAACCTGCAACCATAACCTCTCATGCCCTGGAACAGTGCCTAACGCACGCTTGTGAAAAAAATGACTGATCCCAGTGTCCTGCAAGCCATTGTCATTTTCAAAGCTTTACTAGAAAGAATCCTTGTAGGGGAGCCTCCAATGCATTAAATAACAGTATCATGCATGTGTTAATTCACTGAAATGCATTTACTGCCCTTGATCATGTATTTCCCTGTTAAAATTCAGAACTGAGTACACCAAGAAAAGAACGGGCAGGAGTGGTAGACCAATTGGGTTTAGTTGTCAATCTGGTCCGACTGCAGCGGTTCATTACACGTTCTGCACAGGGAGTGAGAAAGCTAATCGCTAGTTGCCAGAGGATGTGGGCTTGATGCTGATCAAAGGCAGCCAGCTTACTGATCTCCTCTCAGGAGCACTGGCTTGGGGGAGGAGGGTGAGTCTTGCCCCTCCTGTGCTGCTGAGAAATCTAACTCTGACTCGACTCAGAGGACCCAGAGCCCTTGTTCAGCATTTGATTAAGCACTAGGGACAGCAAACCATGCCAAGTATCAAAAACCAGCTCTGACCACGGATTTGTACTCTTCGGGTGGGAATCTGTTAAACATTAGAATCGGGTTCAGCACTAGAACCTCTGATCAATGTTTAGTCATTCACAAAGCCATAGAGCCTTTTTAACATGTCAAGTGTTGTCTAAGCAGTCAAGAGGCAAACACAGGGATCACTGAAGTGGCAGACGATCCTTCCACATGAACCATTCAGAAAATGTTAAAGCATAAATGACTGGTTTCCATATTCAAACCATGACAAATTCGTGTAGCCACGATGAGACAAGTAATTGAAATCTGGGGGGAGAACTAATGATGTTGCAATTTTTTTAAATTTTTTAAAGATTTATTTAATTATTTATCTATCTATTTATTTATTTATTTATCTATTTGTTTATTTATTTATACAAGCACTGGGTAGAGTCAGAGGCGCGGGAGGGTGAGAGAATTCACCAGAGCCAGAGCGGGGAGCAGAGCAGGCAGAAGGACCGAAGGACACTGCTGAGGGGAGCAGCGGGCGGCAGGAGAGGTCTGCGCGCCATGCGGGACCCTCCTCCGGTGGCCGGGGAGCAGCCGGGGATCGAACCGGCGTCACAGAGGCCGCGGGGAGCTTCGCAACCCAGCGCTCAACCGCTGCGCCACCGGGGAGGCCGTTTGCGCTCAACCGCTGCGCCACCGGGGAGGCCCAATAATGTTGCATTTTTAAATCGATGTGGAAATACTCATTTTCCACCCCAAAGAGGTGTCCATAGCACTGGGCAGTTTATGCTTAAAGCCCAGCCTCGGCTTTCATCCCCTGGCCTGAGAGCTTCCCTTCCGCGCCGCGCCGAGGCCGTCTCTGGCCTCACCTCTTCCCCCGGACACTTCCCATCCTGGGAAGCTTCTCGCCCTGGGAACGCCCCAGGAGTGCTCAGCCCTGTCCCTGTCTTACTCGGGGTGCGACCCGGGCCCTCGCCAGTCTGCTCCGAGGAGGGGCACCCGCGCGCCCCACGGGCCGGCTGGGACGCGATCTGGGGTCCCCAAATCTTTCCTGAGGTGCGGCCGCTCCTCAGAGCCTCGCCCTGGGGAGAAGCAGCTGGTGCTGGAGATGGGGGGGGGGGTGGGGGTGGGGGGGGTGGGGGGCGGAGCCCCGCGCCCGCCCATCCTCGCTCGCTCCCGGGGCCGTCCTCGCGGGCTGGACTGGGGTCCGCGCCCCTCCCGGGGGCGGGGCCCCCCGGCCTCCCGGCGTCTGGCTGCGGGAGCCGAGACCCGGCGAGATGTCCCTCCTCCGCGCGCTCTCCCGGGCCCTGGCGCCCCGCGGGCCGGCGCCGCCTCGGAAGCACGGTGGGTGCCCAGACGGCCAGACCCGAGCCGGACCCGCGCCTGGGGGCCCCTGGACGGGTGGGCCCGCGGGAGCGAGCGCGACCCGAAGCAGTGGAGGCCAGAAGTTGGGGGTCGGAGGTGGCGCAAGTGGGGGGAGGTCGCAGGTAGACGCCCCGCAGTTTGGGGAGACCAAGAAGCAGGGGGCTCGCCGCGCGGCTGCGGGCCCGGAGCCGTCCTCGGCAGCGGCGGGCCCCTCGCCTCTCTGCTGTGAGATGGGGCGAGCAGGAGCGCGCGTTTAAACGAATGAACGCGGAGCCGAAGGCGCTGGAGAGCCCGGGCGCCAGGGCCAGGGCGCCCCTCCCCGCGGGAGCCGGGGGACGCGGCGCGGCCAGGGGCGCACGGGCGGCGGGGGCAGAGGGGCCGGCGCCCCATGCGCCCGCCTCGGCCGGACCCCGCGGCCGGGCCCCGCACCCCGAGGAGAAAGCCCCCCTCTGGGCGCCGCGGTCGCCCTGGGGCTCGCGGGCGCGGCCGTCCCGTGTCCGTCACCTCCAGACTGGGGCTGCGTCGGGCAGGGGAGGCGTTGGGAGCGCCCCAAAAGGGAGGTCGCTGCGAGAGAGGGCCGTGGACAGACTCTCAAAGGACGGACACGAAGCGCCCGGCACAGCCTGGAACATTCCACGAGGTCTTTTCCACGCCTGCAGCCGCGGGCCGGGGCGCCCCCCCCCCCCCGCTTCCAAGCCGGCGAGGGGCGCGACCAGGGCAGCCCCCCGGAAAGTCCTCGGTTCTCCCTGCTCGTCACTTACTTTCTAGGCTTGCGAGCGAGCTTTAGCCGCCCGCGCGCCTTCCAGCCGGCAGGAGAGAGAAAAGACTCCCGCGGAAAGTTCGACGGCCGAGCCCCCCAGTTTGATGAGCACGTGTGATGGCGGGAGGGGGGGCTGTCGGGCGGGGGAGGGGCTGTCCGGCGAGGGGAGGGGCTGTCCGGCGAGGGGAGGGGCTGTCCGGCGAGGGGAGGGGCTGTCCGGCGAGGGGAGGGGCTGTCCGGCGAGGGGAGGGGCTGTCCAGCGAGGGGAGGGGCTGTCCAGCGAGGGGAGGGGCTGTCCAGGGAGGGGAGGGCCTGTCCAGGGAGGGGGGGCTGTCCAGCGAGGGGAGGGGCTGTCCGGCGAGGGGAGGGGCTGTCCGGCGAGGGGAGGGGCTGTCCAGGGAGGGGAGGGCCTGTCCAGGGAGGGGGGGCTGTCCAGCGAGGGGAGGGGCTGTCCGGCGAGGGGAGGGGCTGTCCAGCGAGGGGGGGCTGTCCCGCGAGGGGAGGGCTGTCCAGCGAGGGGAGGGGCTGTCCAGCGAGGGGGGGGCTGTCCAGCGAGGCCGCCGGCTTGCTCACCGGTGCTGGAGGGAGAGGTTCTGTTGCAAGTCACAGAAATCGGACGTCTTCGTTTTCCTTGATCTTTATGCCAACCAAGACAGAGCAAATCCCCCTCCCACGACGAACCAGGGAGAACCCATTTATTTTAGACTTCTGCAACTGTTGGGCCGTCGTGGCTGGGGCGCGGTGGGGAGCAGGAGGAGGCCCTGAAAATGACCTTATCGCTCCGCACCCCACTCCCAGCGTCTTCACCCACAAATACACCCACTTTTTTTTCTTTCTTTCTTTCTTTTTTTTTTTTGTAGCTGCACGTTTCAAAGATTTTTCCTTCCCAACCTTCCTAAGCCGTTTTGAAATTCTAAATAAGTAGTTAGCAGTACCGGCTGTGGTAGTATTTGACTTTCTCTAATTTCACTTAGCTACGATTTCTGCAGCCCTGATTTATGTATTTTCAGAACTGTCATTGACTGGAAACTTGGCTTCATTCATGGACATTAGTTAGCCTTATCTTGGTATTTTCTACTTTGATGAAAAATAAGGTTGTTTCCATTTTTTTTGAAGGATAAAATTTTCACTGTGCTTCGTCTAATTTTGTTCTCCTCGTTTTTGCTTTTAAAAATACAGCTTTTAATGAGTAAATAATTTATGTTTGTAATAGATCATCGGGGACAGTACAGAAAAACAAGACAGAACTCATTTGTAATCCTACTATTCAATAATACACTATATTTTTATATATACAGTATTCCAAACCTTTTTGCCTTTCCAGTATTTTTTTTCTGTTTGCACGTTACTTTCACAAATCTGAGATAGTTTGATATAGATTATTGTGCTTTAACTTTTCACTTAATGTATTATGAGTATTTTCTCACATAAGCAAATATTCTACAAAAATTGTGTCTAATTGTTTCACATTATATTTATTTTAGGAACATGCTAAAATTCTTTAATTATTGAATATTTGTCATTTCACCACTCTTTTAGATAACTTTGCCATAATTGTATGTAATTGCTTAACTAAATATGTTTATTTTATTGCCTTCTTTTTGATATTTACATCTGGTTGAGACCTATAAAAACTATAGATTCCCTATTTAACGATGGATGTATTTTTTAAAGATTTATTTATTTATACATACAACTGGGGTACAGACCAGAGGTGCAGGGGGTAAGAGGATTCACCAGAGACAGAGTGGGGAAAAGAATAGGCAGAGCTACTGAAATCCACTGCTGAGGGGAGCAGCGGGAGAGTAGGAGAGGTCTGCTGCGCCATTTGGGTAACTTCCTGGCCTGATGGGCATAGAACTTGTGCTGCAGAGGCTGCGAATAGCCTCATAGTGCCGTGCTTAACCCTTGCACCACCAGGGAGGCCCCTGGGTGTATTTTTAAACCAATTGATGCTCCCACTGCAAGACACAACCTTAAACGCTTATAACCTCTTTGGGCACATTTTTATGAAAAAAAAAATTTTTTTTCTAAGAGATGGGCATTTACATCCAAGCTAAGAATGTAAATATGTAATCTTCCCAATATTATGCCTGCTGAGATTAGTGGTCACTACAAATGCCTGCAGCCTTGCCCATTGCATCAGAACCTCTTCCCAGTTCCTTCCCACACTCTGGATGTCCAGCCACCTGGCTTTCCCAGACACACAGGCGTGAGCCCTTGCACCCGGAGTGTTTCCTGTTTCCAGTGCCATTTCCACGACCCCTTCTTTATCTGACAAACTCCTATTTTCCTTCCAAACTCAGCTCACAGCTCTTCAATTGTGACAGCTACATTGAGCTAAAGAGCTGAGTTTTTTCACTGCATTTCATGCTATTCTCGCAACTTGGCTTAGATCTAACATAGCATTTATTATAATGCATGGCAATTATTTGTCAACAAATATTTGTCTGTACAGCTGTCTCCTTTTAGACTGTGAGCTAATTGAGGCCAGGGACCTTGTGTGTCTTCTTTGAGTTCTGTCCTCTGTACTTCTGACAATGCCAAACAGAGATTGGTGCTCAACTGTATTTGTTGAATAATTAAATAAATGTCTGTGCTTTTTTATCTTTAAAATGGACAATGGAAAATGGGGAGCCTCCCTGGTGGCACAAGAGGTTAAGTCTCAGCACTAGTTAGCTGTCACCAGTTACTGCAGCAATCCCGGCCAGGGAGCTACCCACATGGCGCAACAAACCCCTCCTGTCTCACCTGCTGCTCCCCTCAGCAGTGTATTTCAGTAGATCCGACTGTTCCGCTCCCCACTCTGTCTCTGGTGAATCCTCTCACCCCCCAAACCTCTGACCTACACCCCAGTTCTTGTATGCATAAATAAATAAAATAAATATTTTAATTAATTAATTAATTAAAATAGAAAATGTGAGCTATATGAACTTTAAGATGCTTCTAGCTTTAAGGCTATTGTAAAAATTTTATATGGTATATAAAAATTCTAGCACTAGAGTAAACATAGTTGATATAACAATATAGTCCCTTTAGCTAATCCCATTAGTTTGTACACAATTATATTTCAGATATAAACTTGTTGCAATATTTATCTTTATAAAGTTTATATCTCCTCTAAAGGTTTCATATTAGAAAAATCAAAGTGTCTACCTATACCTACTTTTGTATTATAAATTAATAGAAATGTGACTGATTTAACATAAATTTTAAGTACAAATATATTTAATCCACTTTTGGGGGAAAAGTCATGTTTTCCATTGAATCTCGTGGTAGAGTGTGCATAGGTAATAGATTTCTTTTCCTGATCTGCGTCTCATGTGACTATCCGAATTGCCTCATATCCCTTCATTTCCCCATCCCCCAAGTGCACCCCTTCCAAGGAAAGGACGGTCTTCAAGGTTTCATCCGATGACAGGTTTCCTACAGACTTATCGCCTTAGATAGGGAGACTGTCAAGTTGAATTATTGCCCTTATAATTCTGCATCAAGCTAAAATCACTTGATGTTAATAGAGTCTAGGTTCAATAAGGGCGAAAACATTTTTTTAAGATTTTTTTATTTATTTATACAAGAACCAGGGTACAGGCCAGAGGTTTTGGGGGTAAGAGGATTCACCAGAGACAGAGTGGGGAGCAGAATAGGCAGACAGACTTAAAGCACTGCTGAGGGGAGCAGCGGGTGAGACAGGAGAGGTCTGCCATGCCATGTGGGTATCTTGCCGGCCGGCTGGGATCAAACCTGCACTGCAGAGGCTGCAGACAGCTTCACAGCGCTGCACTCAACAGCCTGTGCCACCAGGGGAGGCCCCAAAAGCATTTTTTAAACTATAATTATTTAAAGCAGTTTTGCTTAGTGATGGCGCTAACTGTTTCAACTTATTTTCCTAGCATCTCTTCGTTGGATATCATTTAACAAATTCCCTGGATCATCAGGATCAAACGTGATTTATTACCTGGCTGTAGGGATCACAGTCAGTGCTGGTGGATATTATGTAAGTGTTTGAAACAGGGCTAGGAATTCATACATTACCTGTGATAAAACTCAAAGCAATGACAAGGTCAGAACCAAGTACAGAGAATTCCCATGTGTTCCTTGTCCTTCTCAGCCCCCTTTCACCTGTGGACTATCTTGTTTTAGGTTGGCACATTTTTTGTGACAACATGAGCTAATTTAAATTGTCTAGTGGAGTTCCATGCTGTGGACGGGCATGTTGCGTGGTGTCCACATTATGAATGAACCAGTTTTCCAACCATGCACCTGTTATAGGACATCAAGTCCAGTTCTAGCTTTGGTTGTTCAAATAAAGCTACCTTACACATTGTGTCCAGGTTTTTGTGAGCCTGCAAAATTCCATTTCTCTGGAGTAAATGCTGCAGGGTGTCTGTAAACGCCTGGCAGAATGTTTTGATTCTAGTAGTTTAAGTTTTCCCCTTTGTCTTTGTCGCATCAGGCATATTTTCAGTTTTCTTGATCCCTTTCATAGCAGCTGTTTCTTTCCTTTCCTGAAACATTCTACCTAATGGCAAAGGCTTCCAAAGGGGAAGCAAAAGTATGCACAGAGCTCACCGGTCTATCTTTGAATTGTCTATACTTTTTAACTTGGCATGATGAACTTTGGAGCTCAAGCAATAAACTCGAGTACACATTTCCTTTCAGGCTTACAGGAGAATAGTCCCATCAGACCAAGCCAAACACATCGAACATGTGGCCAATTTCAGAGATAAAACTAGAGCAGAGTTACATCCTCCTCAAGGTAAAGTGAGTTGATTTTTTTTCCTCCAGGTACTAATTTTTGTCATCTTAGTCTAGTAAGAAACATTATTTGCTTTGGGCTTCTTTAAGATTTACTTATTTATGTATACAAGGACTGGGGTACAGGCCAGACGTATGGAATGGAGGGTGGAGGATTCGCCAGAGACAGAGTGGGGAGCAGAACAGGCAGACTGACTGAAATACACTGCTGAGGGGAGCAGCAGGTGGGACAGGAGAGGTCTGCTGCGCCGTGTTGGTAGCTCCCTGGCCGGCTGGGGATTAAACTTGTGCTGCGAGGCCGTGGATAGCATCACAGTTCTGTGCTAAAGCCATTGCGCCACCAGCAAGGCCCCTTAAATGACTTTAAAAAAAAAAATCAACAGTTTCAAAGCCTATTTCTCACTTTCCTTCTCCAGAGACAACCAATAACACCAGTTTCTTTCAATTCTTCTGAAAGCCTTTTGCAATATAACTACCCAGGTCTATAACTTACCCTCTTTCCCCCCCACCATCCATTACGTCCCTTCTCTTTCCCCCCACCCTCCCTCACAGTGTTTACTGACATGCATTAGTTTTTGCACTTTACTTAGTCATCTGCTCTGTAAATGTCCGGTATTTGTTTTTATCATTCTGACGTGCTTTACTACACTTAATTCTCTCAGACACTCTCCATTTTGTTCGAAATAGCTGCTTGTTATCTTTCTTCATGGCTGAATAGTATTCCATAGTGTGGACAGACCACCTCTTCTTGATCCAGTCTTCTTTTTTTTTTAAACATTTTATTTATTTATTTTAAAGATTTATTTATTTGTTTATACATGCACTGGGCACAGTCAGAAGCGCGGGAGGGTGAGAGAATTCACCAGAGCCAGAGCGGGGAGCAGAGCAGGCAGAAGGACCGAAGGACACTGCTGAGGGGAGCAGCGGGCGGCAGGAGAGGTCTGACGCCATGCGGGACCCTCCTCCGGTGGCCGGGGAGCAGCCGGGGATCGAACCGGCGCCGCAGAGGCCGCGGGCAGCTTCGCAACCCAGCGCTCAACCGCTGCGCCACCGGAGAGGCCCGATCCAGTCCTCTCTTGATGGGCATTTAGGTTGTTTCCATGTCCTCGCTGTTGTGAATAAGGAAGGCTGCAGTAGACATTGTAGACACATAGTTTTTGCATTGGTAGCTTGACATTCTGTGGATAGCTGCCCAAGAGTGGGATGGCTGGCTCTTATAGTATTTTCCATTTTTAGTTTTTTTTTAAAAGATTTATTCTTAAAAAAAAATTATTTATTTATGCATACAAGAACTGGGGTACAGGCCAGAGGTGCTGGGGGTGAGAGGATTCACCAGAGCCAGAGCAGGGAGCAGAGCAGGCAGACTGACTGAACACACTGCTGAGGGGAACAGAGGGTGAGACAGGAGAGGTCTGCTGCGACATGTCGGTGGCTCCCTGGCCGGCTGGCTGGGGCTCAAACTCACGCTGTAGAGACTGCAAATAGCTTTGTAGTGCTGTGCTTAACCCCTTGCACCACCAGGGAGGCCCCATTTTTAGTTTTTTAAGGTAAATGCAGATCACATTCTGGAATAGCTGCTCCAGTTCACATTGGTGACAATTACTATTTTCCTTTTGTCCTAACACCAGCCGTGTGCACTCTGTACTTGGTCTTTTCCTTGCTCTTCTCACTAACAGTCCACCATGAAGATCACTACTTAATAGTACACACAGCTCTGTCCACTGCATTCCCATGCTCTTTAAATTAATAATTTGGGAACTCCCTGGTGGCGCAGGGGTTAAATACAGCACTATCAAGCTATCACCAGCCACTAAAGCACGAGTTCGAATCCCCAGCCAGCCTGAGAGCAACCTATGTGGTGCAGCAGACCTCTCCTGCCTCGCCTGCTGCTCTCAGCAGTGTATTTCAGTCAGTCCGCCTGTTCTGTTCCCCACTCTGTCTCTAGTGAATCCTCTCACCTCCCACACCTCTGGCTTACACCCCAGTTCTTATTATATGTATAAACAAATAAATCTTTAAAAAAATTAATAATTTGCTTAATTGATTAAATCTTAAAGGCGAAAAAGAGAGCCTGGCTGGAGCTGAGAAGGCCAGTCTGGCTGCCCCTGTGGTCTCGTTCCTGGAAGCAGAGGTGGTAGATGCTCAAGAAATTCCAGAGGCTACGATGGTGATGGTCGCTGTCCCAGAAGAGACTGCAGCCTGCCCGGGGCAGGTCGAGGCTGCCCAGATGGAGTCACCCCCTGGACCTGAGGCTCCCAAGGCAGCAGCCAGGGAAACCAAGGACGTCAGGCCTGACCCCGCCACAGAGGCTGCGGAAGCAGCTCCTGGGGAAGCGGCTGCCATCCATGATGATAAAAGCACAGCCCAGAAGGAAAGCTCTGGTGAACCAGCTAAGCTAGAGGAAGAATGTTGTGCCATGCAGACAGAGTCCTCTGCCAGGGAGGGTGCCCGGGGAGAAGCTGGCACTGCTGCGGAGGCCTCCTCAGAGGAAGGCTGACCTCAGCCGGCTGAGAGTCTGCTAGGTGCTTTCATATTGCTAGTAATCTTAGCTTTCCAAAAAGGCTTCTTTTCTAGAAAACTTTCATGGACCTTGAGGGCTTTGGTATCTACTGCTAGACTTCAGGATTTAAGATTTGAGATTTCACATCTGAAGAGTTTTCTACTCTCTGAAATCAGCAGGGAAGAGCTTGAAAATTTCATCTTTGAAATTTTACATCCTAGGAATTGAGCTATCTGTGCCACCAGTGTTCACGTTAATTTTGCTATTCCTTTACCTTTAATGTGTGTAAATCTAGATCTTGAGTTTTGACTTGATCTCATTTCAATAAAATGGGAAAGTAAAAGTGTTGCTTCTACTTTTCTTAATGAATATTTATATGTTTAAATAATATATACTAACACATACAACATATGAACACTGCATTATTATCCAGAAAACATAATCTATGGAGAATTTTGCATATAATGGTGAACTCTGCATATAATAATATATTATTATTAGGTAGGGGACTGTGCCCTTATTTTCCAGTTCAATTCAGCTCAGTTGAAACAATATTGAGGATTTATACTTAGGGTCAGGAATAACTCTTTACTCATTCTTCATTGATTCATGTATTCAACAAATACTAACTGAGTACCTGTGAATTATCAAGCCTTGTTTTAAGTGCTGAAATTTAAAAAAAAAGATAAAAATTCCTGCCTTCTCCATTTTTATGTTTTAGAGTGTAACCAAATAATCAACAAGATAAGAAAACAACATGATGTATTAGAAACATGCTTAAAAAAGAAGCCACGGAAGTAAAGGGACTGTAAGTGCTGATTGGGGGAAAGCAGTGTTTTAATTGGAGTGAACAGAGAAGACCTTACTAAGAACGTACCTGTGAGTAGGTTTGTGTGGTGTGTATGTGTGTGTCTGTCTGTCTGTCTGAGAACCAGCTCCAGCTTCTGTCCAGACGACCGTTGTCATACAAGTGACCACAGGCAACCAGAAACAAGCCCTCCACCTGAACACAAACCAAACTGCTGAGGCACAAAATTGTGAGCAAATAATTTGGTTGTGTGCTAAGTCTCCTACACAGTTGTGTAGGCAGAGACCTCTGGGTGAGACAGCCTGGATAGAGCACCGAGGTTTGAACTGGGTGCAGATGAGGCTTCAGTGTGGCTGCACTTCGTGTTCCTCCACAGTATGAGGAGAGAATGAGTTGTCTTGGCAGATCCGGAATGTGTCTGGCTTAAACTCCCGGCCAATTGTTGCATTTCCTGACATTTTTTTTTTTTTTTTTTTTTTTTTAGGACTACGAAATGCCAAAACGTGACTGCATACAGAAGGATTTTCTTTGAAAATTTCCTTTGAAAATTTAGTCATTATTTAAAACAAACTTTTGAAGCAACAGCTACCAAGTCCAGTACCTATTATTAAACTTTTTGGTTTTAAGAACCAATGTAATGGGGCCTCCCCGGTGGCGCCGGTTTGATCCCCGGCTGCTCCCCGGCCACCAGAGGAGGGTCCCGCATGGCGCGCAGACCTCTCCTGCCGCCCGCTGCTCCCCTCAGCAGTGTACTTCGGTCCTTCTGCCTGCTCTGCTCCCCGCTCTGGCTCTGGTGAATTCTCTCGCCCTCCCGCGCTTCTGACTGTACCCAGTGCTTGTATAAATAAATAAATCTTAAAAACAAAAACAAAAACAAACCTGTAAAAAAAAACAAAACAATGTTATGAAAGTATAAGAACAGTATTCCACACGCAGAAAGTTTTTTATCAGACCGCTGAGTGATTATATTTATTTATGTATTTATTTACTTTTTATTGAGGCAAATGGTTTCAATATTGTATGTTTTAGAGATGCAGATTCACACTTCTTCAAATGTATGTCACCTCCCCATACCCATCACCCAAGCACCCATAATCCTCCACCACAGGGGCCTCCTTGGTGGCGCAAAGGATTAAGTCTCAGCACTATGAAGCTATCCACAACCCCTGCAGCCAGAGGTCGATCCCTGGCTGGCCAGGGAGCTACACACATAGTGCAGCAGACCTCTGCTATCTTGCCCACTGCTCCCCTCAGCAGTGTATTTCAGTCATTCTGCCTGTTCTGTTTCCCACACTGTCTCTGGTGACTCCTCTTATCCCCCTGCACCTCTGTCCTATACCCCAACTCTTGTATGCATAAATAAATAAATCTTAAAGAAAAATTTCTCCACCAGTCTCTTGGGCCCCTCCCCCCATGCTCCCCAATCCTACTCTGGTAGCCACAATTCTATAGTCAGATCCAAAAGTTTGTTTTGGTTTGGTTTTGTCTGTTCCTTTGCACTGTTTATTCATATTCCACAAATGAGTGAAATTATCCTGTATTTGTCTTTCTCCTCCAGACTTATTTCCACTTAGCATCATCCCCTCCATTTCCATCCCTGTTGCCACAAATGGCAAGATTTCATCTTTTTTTTTTATAGCTGAGTATCATTCCATTTTATATAATTTTTTTAAAATTTATATAATTTTTTAAATTTAAATTTATATGATCTTTAAATTTACTTTTTACAATGTTTGCTTTGTTTTTATTGACTGATTTTAATATAATAAAAATTTACATATAAAAAGCCTAAATGGGATAAATGGAATGTGAGGTCTAGAATGTGCAAGTCACTATAAAAGATAAAAATTGGCAGCAGTATCAGACAAGCAAGTTATTTTTCTTTGATGTAGACAAGGATATAAAGGAGGATTGAGTTTAGAAAATGCAACACATCAGCCACATACCCATGGCTAATGCCATGGGTACTGGACTTGGTAGCTGTTGCTTCAAAAGTTTGTTTTAAATAACGAATAAATTTTCAAAGAAAATCCTTCTGTATGCAGTCACGTTTTGGCATTTCGTAGTTCTAAAAAAAAAAAAATGTCAATGTCAATTCAACTTTCCCTTGAATTGTTGAGAGGGGTATATACTGCAGTCTTGAACAATGGAGCTGAGATAACTACTCTATTTTTTTTCTTTTAACTAAGTTTTATAGTTTTCTCACTTTTTAAAAATGTGAACTTTCTATTATGAAGTTCATTGTGTTCTAAAGCCAGCTTTTGAGAATTGAAGCTGGATTTAGGGAAGATTAGTATCTGAGTGTGCTAGTAATTTCTGTGCCAAGTATTTGGCCTGTCAGATAACATCTGTTAACCAGAAGCAATGCTCCCCATTATAATAAAGCACAGTGTATAATGTTTCTTCATTTAAAAACAACTCTAAAGAAATTTCTAGAAAAATATGTATTTTGTTTAAAACTTTGGGGTTAAGTTTTCAGTGGACATGTTAGAGGTATTTGGAAAGTTAAATATTAATATTTGAGTTTTTCACATGGATATAGGATGTTAAGAAATCTTTGCCCCAATTAATAATGAACATAAAAATGTTTATTTTCTGAGATTCTTTCTTTCTTTTTTTTTTTTTTAAAGATTTATTTATACAAGCACTGGGTGCAGTCAGAAGCGCGGGAGAGTGAGAGAATTCACCAGAGCCAGAGTGGGGAGCAGAGAAGGCAGACCGACGAAATGCACTGCTGAGGGGAGCAGCGGGCGGGGCAGGAGAGGTCTGCTGCACCATGTGGGTAGCTCCCTGTTGGCTGTGTTTAGACATGACTTTTTTTTGTTTTTGTTTTTGTTTTTTTTTTAAAGATTTATTTATTTATTTATTTATTTATGCAAGCACTGGGTACAGTCAGAAGCATGGGAGGGCGAGAGAATTCACCAGAGCCAGAGCGGGGAGAAGAACAGGCAGAAGGACTGAAGTACACCGCTGAGGGGAGCAGCCGGGCGGCAGGAGAGGTCTGCGCGCCATATGGGACCCTCGCTGGTGGCCGGGGATCGAACCGGCTCTGCTTCGCAACCCAGTGCTCAACCGCTGCGCCACCAGGGGAGGCCCTAGACATGACTCTTCAGAAGGGTGACCGAGTTGTCCTCAGCCAAAAGTTGACCAGACATGCCCAATATCTTCCTATTATTCCTTAAAACCCACTCAGAAATCAAGTCAACATGATAAAGTTGGCAGGAGAGCAGTAAGTGCCTGCGAGGACTTTGCCCAGCGATAACTCACTGCAGATGATATGTCCATGGACACAGGCGGTGAAGTAGGGTTCCCAGTACCCTCTTAGGACTTTTTGACCTGTGGGCTGCTTTGGTTCCAGTAATATTTCCTCTTTCTCCCCCAAAGTCCATTTCCAGTTCCTCCTAACTCAGCATCAACTGGAAGTAGACTCTCTCGTGTCCCATCAGCCTCTCAGTGGCCTGAAGTCAGACCCTGTGGAGCAGCGTCGTGTGGATGAGTGTGTCTCATCATGCCCCCATAGTCTGTAGACTAATATTAAGTGTGTGGTTAAAAACATATATAGTTAAGGGGCTTCCCTGGTGGCCCAAGTGATTGGGATGCAGCCTATGGAGCTCTCCGCAGACTCTGCAGCACAGGTTCAATCCCCCGGCCAGTGAGTGACCCACAGGGCACAGCAGACCTCTCATGTCTTGCCCTCTGCTCGCCTCAGTGTATTTCAGTAGATTGCCTGTTTTGTTCCCCACTCAGTCTCTGGTGAATCCTCTCACCACCTGCATCTCTGGCCTGTACCACTTTCTTGTATGCATAAATAAATAAATCTAAAAAAAAACAAAAACAAGATCTCCTTAATTTTAAAGCAAATATATATCTCACAGCTTCTTTATCTACTCGTGCAAACCCGGACACTGACTATTTCCACATTTGAGCATGTGAATAATGCTGCAATGAACTTGGGTCTGAGAGTCTTGAAGTCTAAGCTACGTTTCTGTTAGCCCCAGTGTCCCCCTCTGACTACTGACACAGGCCTCTGCCCACTGCCTGGGGCTCTTAGTGTCCTCTTAGAAGTGGCCTTCTCGGTGCAGTCTTCCCCACTGTCGCAGGCAGATGTTTTTTTCACGGGATCCCCTAGTACCCGGGAAGAGAGCAGTTGCCGCCGCGAGCACACGCCAGGACCAGTCATCCGCTGCCTCCTGCGGTCCAGGGCCTTCAAAGGGGCTGCTTTCTTCAGACAGTCCCTCCCTAGAGTCCATTCCTCTGTCCCCAGCCACTACTAACTACTCTCTGCCTCCAGAGCTTGGCCTTGGCAGCCTTGTCATGCAAGTGGAATTGCAGAACATGTGGCCTCTCCAGTCTCCGTTCTTTCACTTCTCATCATTCATTTATTTTTAGAAACTGGAGAAAAATGCTTATGGATGCTTAATGAGTTTACCTGAAAAGAGAAAATATAGAAGAAGCTTTATGGACTGCTAGCGTCGGAGGAAGACCAGGGATGTCCCCGGCTCAGGGTTCTGCTGTTCCGCGCCTCCCCCTGGTGGTCAAAATGCAACAAGGCCCGTGTGCAGCTCGGCCTCCCGGGAGAGGCCTTGCGTTTGGGGATTTCAGTTGAGAAGTGTCAGTTTGGTTTATCTGGAGGTCTTTCACAAAGCAAAGCGGTGGGAGGCCTGATCTGCAACGCACTGTTACTCCCAACGCCGTTAGAGATGCGCGTTTACATTTTTCTGCAAGGGGTGCAAGACCAGCAAGGCCGCATCCCAAACTGGCAATAACCAAGCTGAAGACTGGCCAAGTGAGTTATTATGGTAACAGGGGGTCCCCCAGGAAAGGGGAGGTTCCAGGCTCCCTGCCGCACCCAAGGGGGGTGGAGCTGAGCAGGGAGGAGGCGCAGCCGGAGAGGAGAAGAAGCAAGAGGGAGGCAGGAGGCCTGGGGTGGGGGGGCTGGAGCAGAGGCGCGTGCTGCTTGGTCCTGGGCCGGCCAACGCAGACGGGGGTGAGACCCGTGGGGAGGTGAGCGATGGCAGCTTTTATCTCGACATTGCTTTCGGCTCCTTCTGTCGCAGACATGCTGGGCCCCTTCTGCCGCTTTTCTATG